GTTAAATCCCTTTTAGGTTTTTTAGAGGTTAAGACCCCTTTGAGCGCCTAAATTGAGAAGCTCCCAATAATACCACTTAGGCACTTCAAAAAATTCAAATTTTACTCAAATTAGGTGGCCACAGGGTTTTTAAGCCATTATGTGAATTTTTGAAATTTTTTTATTTTTTTTTTAGAATTTTTACTTTCCTGGAAACTGATTTTTTATCTTCTGAAATTTTTTTATTATTTTTTTTATGGATTTTCCAAAATTTCCAAATTTTAGAGGTTTTCTGAATTTTTTGATTTCTTTTTTTAAATTTTTCTGAATTTTTTATGATTTTCTGTAATTTTCTAAATTTTTATATGATTTTCTGGAATTTTCTAATTTTTTTTATGATTTTCTGGAATTTTCTATTTTTTTTTTTATGATTTTCTGGAATTTTTCGAATTTTTTTATTTGAATTTTTTATTTCCCGCAGAAAAGGCGAATCGGACCAAACCGGTTCAAACCGGTCTGACCAAGTCGAACCGACTTGATCGGCGCCAGTCGGCACTCCGGTAGAACGATGCAAAAACGGCACCGTTTCCTTCATTTTCTCTTCGGCATTTTGCTGAACACCTGGTATGCATGAATCTGGTTTTAGTGTTATTAAGGCCGCCGAGTCGGACTAAGTTCCAATGACCTTTCGGCAAGTTTCTGACCATCCTCATGACTCCTAAACCTTCTACCTTATATCCTCTAATCAACTAACACAACCAAATCTCCTTTGGACCTCTTTCGGCCGGTGAAAAACCGAGACTAAAAGTAACCCAAAACTGTCTTAGATAAGCATTTCTAACGTTTATATCATCAAACAAATGCCCTAGCCGTTTCTAACGCTTAAAACAATCATCAAAGCATGAAACAAGGTCAGAATCCCACTAATTTGAGTGGCGATTGGCCACATACGACACTCCGGTGAGGCTTGAGAGCTCCGGTGTGGGTTTCATGGCGGCCAACTCAGTCAAATGCAATTTCAATGATTCAAAATGCAGGAAACAATGAAACACATGATCAGAAACTTGTTTTAAACATCAATAGTCTCAAAATCACAAAGGAAATTACATAATCAAATATGATAGAGCTTGAACACCTATTCCGGAATTTTATCAAACTATGATCATGGAGCCAACTTTACCTTCTTCGTAGAGGCTTGATTCTGAAATTCCGAATCAAATGACAATCGTGACGTGATTCTATGATATTTGATCTTCAAGCTGATGAGCTCCTCTGAGTCGAGAAGGTCCTGGATCGACTAGCCGAAGCTTACTTTCAGAGCTTCGCAGTCGACTTTGTTGCAGGGCTTCTGGTGAGGAGGTTCGCCGTTGAGATCGATTTGCCGGGGCTTTTCCGACCACACGATTTCTATCTTTCTCTCTCTAACTTTCTCTCTCTCTCTCTCTCTCTCTCTCTCTCTCTCTCTCTCTCTCTCTCTCTCTCTCTCTCTAGATTTTTGTCGAACAGCTTGTATGCTCGGATAATGACTTTCCCACCCTCTTTCTAGCCTTTGTCGGAATGATTCCTGCCTCCCACCAACTTCTGAGTTTGTTATGACGGATAACTATTAACAACCGGAGATTCTCCAGCTGTTAGATTTGTATTTCTTACGTGTTTATTGTGGGATCAAGATCAGTGAAGACGCGGCCTCAAGAAGATATTTTCTTCTTTCCCGGGCATTGCCCAGTCGAGCGAAGGAGAAGGCTAACCCGGGTCGGGTTGGGTCAATCCGACCAACCCGGCAGACCCGGGTTGGTCCAAATTCGCGAATTAAGCTCCATTATGACCCAATTTTTCAAATTTAACCCCATAATTGGATTCCTCGGCACATTTTGCATCAAGATATGAGATTTGTACCAATTTTTGTTACAATTAAACCCAAAAAAATTCCAAGTTTGAATTCGAATCAATAGGGTTTTTGTTCAATTCAATGTCCAAATGGCCTGATTAGGAAAAATTAAGGCCAAAATTGACTTACCCATAACTTATTAACCCTAGGGAAGGTGTGGGTCTTGATTGGAAATTTCAAATTGAATGGAATCCCCCAACTTGGGTATTAAAATCCCTAATTTTCAATTAATTTTTGGGGCTTTTCAATTATTTTGTTAAATTGTGAAATTGGACCGACCAATATGCAATTCAAGGTCCCAGAATAAATTTTGTGAAGACACTATGGCCTAAAAATGACTAAAAATGACTCAATTGAATTTTTGGTTCAATTAGGGTATGAATTTACCCAATTTTTGGGAAAAACATATCCCCAACTGAAATTTTCCAAAATTGAAGCTGTAGTGATGAAATTGAAATTGAAATAATGCCAATGGCTATTTTTGTGGAATTTTTGAGTTCCATTTGGTATTTTTCTTGATTTTTCACTCATTTTAGCCAAAAGAAAATAAGGAAAAATTCACGAAAATTATAAAAAATTTATTTTTGGTTTAGAATTAGGTTCCTAAGTATGGCCAAGGTTCCTAATCCTAATTTTGTGATTTTTAGAAAATTTAAAAAATGGGCTAAAAATCAAGTGTCAACAGCCGTCACCTGAGCCTGGCTGCCAATCATCGACGAGGCTTGGCGATGACTAGTGGAGGGAAAAAGGAAAAAGGAAAAGGAAAGAAAAGGAAAAAGCCGTAAAATTATTTAAAAAATTGTAAAAATTATCCACGTTACCGCCCGCCATGCCATGTAGAACGGCCGGTACTAACTATAACACCACGTCAGCGATTTTCGGCCAAAATTGGTCAGAATGACATGTAGAACGGCCGGTACTAACTATAACACCACGTCAGCGATTTTCGGCCAAAATTGGTCAGAATGACTAACTTGGCAAATCGTTAAAAGGTTTATGACTAAATTGGCAAATCATCAAAAGATTTAGGATTAAATTGACACAATTGAAAAGTTTAGAACTAAATTGGCTTGTTAAAAGATTTATGACTAAATTGTGCTACTTCACTGCCGTACAATAAGTTTAGAACTTTTTGGACAATTTTTCCATCGAAAAAGGGATCAACCTGCAATTCTACTAAACTGTATCTGACCCAGGATGGACTGGTGATGAGAAACTAGCCAATAAAGAGTAGGATCGTTGCTCGATTGAACCAGCTGGGCTGGTTGAGGGTCAATCACAGTGTGAACTACTAATGTACTAATGCCGCAAGCAATACAAGATATTGCTTTTTACGACAGAACCATTTGATTAGGCATCTCCTAAGACGGGCTTAAGAGATTTCTCAGCGTCTGAGTGTACAATGACTTGTTACAAGCAGCATGTGGGTTCCAATGTAGATCGTCCGCGACGATCAAATTGAAGAACGATAACCAAATGGTGTTTCAAAAGTTGAAAAAGCATATACGATGACGAATGAAAAGGCGAACCATGAGAAATCCACAATCTATCCGGTACTACTCATTGTCCATCTTATTGAATGAGGCGAAAATAATAAAGTCCATACGCCTCCAGGAAGGCAAAGACAAACAACGAAAGAGTTCAACCCTCTTTCACATCGGCGTGTCTCCCTCCCGGGAACGTGTTCGTACAAGATTGTATCGACCCCGCTATGCCCAACGCTGTTATTGTATAAGCTATGTCATGAATCAGTGTGTTAATTTCCTAGGATCCTACACTTTAGTAAGCAATTTTGTGTTTTTCGCTATAAACGACAGACGACGACGTACTAGTACACTCCTCAAGTTAAACATCTGTTGAAGCTGAATAATCTCCGCGGCTTTCATCTCGCAATGTGTAAACTCTCTGCAATCTCCTGCAAAAGAAGGGGATATAACGTTTTGATGGTTAGTGAAAACACAAGCAACAGAATATTACATTGCTAATGATCGATAAATAAAAAAAAAAGACAACTTTCTGCATTTAATTAAATCACTATCAAGTAGTGGGTGTCTCCTGAAGTCAAAGCTTCTTCCTAATTTGAATGATTTTTAGACTCTTGGTCCTGTGCACTTTACTGGTGTCATGACAAGGACATAAAATACAAGCTCAAAATGAATCATATATAAATGATCCTCCAGCAATATAATAACGACCCCAGATACGGGTAGGCATCACGTCATTATATTTATGGTGAATATTGAGGGACTTGTCTGTCTGTCAAATCTTATCCCTTTCTCTTTCAGACCATTGCTGGAATCTACAAAAGCAGAGAGCCAGATCACCCTGACGTAGAAGCCAGCAATCGGCACTTTGTGAATGGTGTGACTCAAGGGCGGCAAAAATGTCATTTCCCATTCCCATGTTCTGTTCTGTTGGTTAATGACTACAAGTTGAATCACATTGGATAACACCTTTGGAGGGAAAGCTCTACTTTGCTTCTGTTTTGACCTTTCAAATTCAACAAAGGCTGCATTCACCAGAGGGGGTTGTTGGGGTTTGTTTCCTTAGACATTTTTAGCAGGCAAGTGGTGATTGGCGAACTGTCTCTGGGTGTTCATGTATGACCTTTTCAAATTCCTGTCGATCGTTCATTTATGGGTTGGAAAGAGTGGGAGGGACCACAAAATTCTTGATATCTTGAAAATAACCCAAGTCGTATACCTTTTAAGGTTCTCAAGACACTTTCCAACTTAGGCTGCTTCTACAAAGAATTCTTATTGGAGACCAGAACAAAAGCATAGGTCATTACAGAGAGAGAGAGAGAGAGAGAGAGAGAGAGAGAGAGATTTGGAAGGAACTTAAAGACAACTGGGGAAGGGTCAAAGTTAGGGCCAACTTGGGGAAATAAAATAAGGCTGCAGACGGACGAATTCGGCCGACTATCTCGTTTTTCATGATAGAAACCGGCTTGGACTTTTGTATAGCTGAAGACAAGAAGAATTTTGCCCCATGAAGATTCACGAGCATGATAGAAAGTAGAGATAAAGGTGACAGAGACCCATTACCACATCTTTTCATACATGGTGATCAAAAGGAGGATTGAGCTTGTAGGGCAGAAATTTAAAGAAGAGAGGGCCATTACACGCGTATCTTTCATAAATAATGAATATAAGGAGATTGCGTTCCTATGGCAGAAATACAAAGCGGGAACAGTAAAAGAAAAAGGCCCGCCTATTTTGACATGCTAAAACAACCATAGCACGCTAATCTTATGTTTAATAGAATTAGCAGTCATGCTGAGCCAATCTACTGTATAATATGAATCCAGTTCTAAAGTCCTCTGTCACTGTAAATATGAATGCCGGGTCCACGAATTAGCCTGTCTTCAGAATCAAGTGAAGATAAAGAATACCAGCTATGTGCACCTTGAAGCAGATTTAATTCAAAGAAAATGAATGGGAAGTGCCTTTTTTCTTCCTTCTTAGTGCATGTTCCTCGAACTCGTCAAGATGCTAAGCCAGGAGTGAACTCCCATTTTACTAGACAAACATTTGATCATTCAATAGAGAGAGAGAGGAAAAAAAACCACGAAGAGTAACAAGTTGGATACTCGGCAATACTGGGCAGAGAAGATGATCAGCACAAATATAAATGATGAAATGCTCAGAAATGCTCACCTAAAAGGTTGGTTTGACGTGGAGAGAATCTCCAGATGTTTTGTCAAAATCTTTCCTTGGTAAACAGAGTAGCATGCTCTCAAATGCACATTAAGAATGTCACGATGGATACTAAAACAACAAAGAAAGGCAATACCTGCAAAAACACAGGAGCCGAAGAAAACATCATCAGGTTCTCATCTAGCTGTGATTGCCCAATAAATTAAGCAAGAAAATGAATGTCTTACTCTTGTCCCAGCCGCTGAGTATAGTTCTGGAAGATAAACTTGCAAGCCAACGTTATACACCGGAGTACCATCTGGATAGTAGAGTCCATAATTCCTCTCCGATGTCGGACCAGGCTTCATGTTCTCGTTAAATAGCGCGAACACGTATATGTCTATAGGCACCGACGGCTTAGCTGGGGTACCTTGTTTCTGCTCTATCCTCTGCAACAGATTCCCATTGTACATCTGTGCATTCTCCAGAGTAGCCCCCGGCTCATCAGCATCACCCTTGGACGGCCAACCTGTCTCAGAAATCCTGACGTCGATATCAGTGTGTCCCATTGCTTTAATAGCTGAATAAACCGCATCAATTTGAGCGTACAACATGTTATCATAGTGTAAGTTGGTGAGGGGATCGGTCAGCCCTTCGTTAGGCTGGAAAAGCACATAATTCAGCTGCACCTCGCTCGGATTATACTTATACGCAAAGTAAGGATACGCGTTTATGAGAAATGGAGTATTTATCTGCGACTGGAAATTCAACAGGGGTTGGAGGTACACGGCAAGATCTGGCCTGAAAGCACCTGCAGAGGGGGGGTATGAAGTAGCTAAAATATTGAGCGAATGCGCGGTTGTGACCGCGACTTGCTTACTCAGTCCAAGGTTGGAAAGGGATAAATATACAGTTTGCATCGCCGGGAGGAGATAAGTCATCCACTGGGTATTGTTGTCATTGAACACTTCGTTACCGACCAGTATGCAGGTGATCTGGGTTTGGCCAATGTAAGGTTGGACGTTCTGTTGGATCCAATCTTGGGCCTTGACGGGATCAGTCATATTCTGGAGATACTCATTGCCTAGACCTATGATGAATTCAACATTGGAATTGGAAAATGCGAGGAGGACATTAGGATCTGCATCATACAACTTTACTCTGCTGACGTTGAGGGATCCGAGGAGGGTGGCGACGCGAGAAGGCGAGGGCAGGTTGTTCGCTATTTGGCCATAATTAATCCCGAATTGGAGGCCCAGAATTTGAATTGCAGAATCTGAAACACAAAGGAAGAAACAGAGTCGGAACCAGAAGCATGTAAAAATGGAGAGACAGAGATCACCAGAAAACTATTCAAACCATCAAACCAGAATCTCCACACATCCATATTTGTTACTGGAGCAACTTCCCTTTCAAGAAGCAAACTTTCGTCACATCACATTAGTATGTGGGAATTGTTAGTGCCAATCTCGTCTCGCTCTCATCAAAATTTGGCACTACCAAAGTAAAAAAAAAAAAAAAAAACCGCACAGCTAATATGAAGTGAAATGAATCCATATTGATTTTTCCCTCAAAGCCCGGAAAGTATGGAAAACAAAAACGGTGATAAGATTAGCAAACGGAAGAAAATCTACCAGAGCCCAATCAAGAAAGCAACACGTGACCCTCATTTATCGAGTCTTTTCCGCTTTCTAAAAAGACAAGAGGGCTCGGATTTCCCGAAAGAAGAGCCATCTTTCTCACTAGCAGTAAGCAGCTGATCAGGAGGAGCTGAAAAGGCAGTGACAAAGACCAGCGGATGGGAAGAGAGAGAGAACGAACCTGAGAGGGAAAGGAAGAGGAGAAAGACGAGCCTGAGGAGTGCGGAAGAGGAAGCCATTGACGGGTTCTTGATCCCAGACACCTCCCGCCCCCGACACCCACCAAGAAAAGAAAAAGGGTGTCAGCAACTCTTCTGCAGCAACCCACCCTCCACGCAGAGACAGAGACAGAGAGGGAGGGCGTGGTTACGTAAAATTGCTGTCACTTCCACCAAACGATTCTCATCCCCCACTTTATACTTATTTCGCCAATGAAAAGATAAAGATAAAAAAAAAAGACAAGCTCTCTCTGCGGTGTGGATGTGTGGGGCAGCTTGACTTCTTTCTTGGAAGAGGCTCGCCGTGAAGCTTGATCTTCCTGCAATTTATAATAATACGATAGCGTCCTGGATGGGTTGAGATGGACGGAGACGATGATGGGATTGATCTTTGGGGATTTTGGTCGTACTTCAACAGGTGATTTTACCGACACAGTTCCACTCCAATTTCCCTTCGGACTTTGCAGTCCCATGTGCTTGCCTTTTTATATTTGGTGCCCCAATTACCGGGGAAAGATATCTCACGATTCGTTCCCATTTCCTTCTTTTTTTCTTCCGTTCGATCTTGTTCATAAATAGTATCCGTGTAGGTGCCGGACGTGTCGGACACCAACCCTTATTCGACATGCAAAGTGATAGACATCCAACACTAGGTTAACGCTCTGGAGATGCCAGCAACACGCGAGTCCAACATCCAGATAATAGAGGTGAGTATGGTTCCATGATAGAATATGAAACTTGAGAACCGGACCAGTGGGAACCTGTCGGTTTCAGATTCCAAGGTATGCAAGATCGGTTCCAGGTTCCAAAAATTGGAGAATCTATTTCGACGGGTAAGTTCAAGGCTCTAGGTAGGTGAAACCTGGAATATAAAACAAGTTTTTATGTTTTTCTTGGTCTTTCTCCATTCATTATATGCGAAATGATAGAAAGATTGGTCAATGAAGGCTTTCTATTGAGCGACGGATATGCTTTTTATTCCGATCGCTTTCCTTTCGCTACACCGCCGAGTTTGTAGAAAAAGCCCTAGCTTTTGAGCAACCAAAAGACAAAATAGACAAACGAGCTCATGATACCGACCGATTTTCTTTACTTTAATGGAAAAGTAGGTTTTCCACCTTCTGGCCAAGAAGATATTGCGTCAAGGATATTATTGGCCAACAGATATTTCATGGCGTCGGATGATGAGTGTATAATTTGGAACCACTAGTCTAAGCTTCAATTTTATGATTGAGACTTTTACTTTGTTAATGTTTCATATTCTTTATATGTCTAAATATAAGTTTTGATCAATGGATTATAGTAGCAAGTGGTGGTCATTAAAGGTAATGATTCACTGCAATCGTTTAATTAATAATACAGATGGGACCCGGGTAGACCTTGGAATTAACCTTAGAACCTGTGATAGGGTAGGTTCCAGGTTCCAAAAAATGCGGAACCTATTCCCACGGTAGGTTTTAGATTTCAAGTAGAACCTATACGGAACTTGGAACCACTTATCCTTATCAGACACACCATTCCGACACGCACAATTTAATTTTAAACATTTTCAATAAATTAGGGGTCAAAATGTAAATTCATTCCAGGCTTTTTTTTATTATTTATTTATTTGTTTATTTGAATCAAATTAATTCGATTGAAATAATCATAAAAATGATAATTTATCATGTATATATAAAAATATACATCTAATATACAATGTGTCCCAACGTGTCGGAATCCGCTATTTTTTGAGAAATGAGGTATTGACGTGTCGTGTCGTGTCGCGTGTCGGTGCTACTTAGTTATTTTCTACATTTTCGAGCCCATTTATTTCTCTACTTTTCGTATAAGTAGTCGTTATAGTCTTTTATTGACATTTCATTATAATTCAAAAACTTTATTTGACATTCGAGAAAATTATGTCCAATTCTGTGTCACGCTATTAGCACCTATTTAAAAGGGTCAATGCCACAAAGAGCCCCAAACTATGCTCACAACAGTCTTAGACCTGATCCACATTTATAACTTTCTTTTCACTTTCTCTCTCTCTCATCCCCACTTGATCTCGTGCTTGCTCATTTCGTGCTTTCATTTCAGTTTGGATACGAATTTTCCCAGATTTGGTTAAATTCGGAAATGTTTTAATAAATATGAATCGTGAGTCGCTAGATTTGTATTGAATCAAAACGAGTTAAATAGGTCAATTTGAATCGGACCATTTTTTACCCGACTCTACTCACCAGTTCGACGGTCGGCCCCCCCAGAGTCGACTCAGCAAGAACCGAGAAAGCCACCGGACTATTTCGGGAGTGGTACATGATGTCCGTTCGCACGTCTCCCAAGGACTTTCACCGATACATCTCAAATTAATTAAATTTCTTTTTTGTTTTCTTGTTGGCGGGGGGGGGGGGGGGGGTGGCTATGATTATAATTATTTTATCTTCTTTTGTCAATCGCTTTTTCAACGATCGCTAATTAAAATAATATTAATCGAGGAGAGCGATATTAAAATACGGCGGGAGTTGCTGCTGACGCGAATCTTACTAGATAACACGTGTTGGCGACCGACCGTCGCGGGGTGGGGGGGGAGGGGCGGCGGCTTCTTCCGTTCGCATCTGAGGAGGTCGGCGGAGACACCTCAGCAGCCGCACGCGCCATGGTCCCGCCCCATTAAAAAAAGTCGTACACTATCATCTTGATTTTTTTTAAAATTATCTTTTTTAGTAGAAAAAAATATAAATAAAAAAGGACGCTTTCTCCGGCTTACGCCGCTACACTTTTCATTTCTAATTTGGGACAAAATGCATTTTCTTTTTTGGAACTTTAAATTTGAAATGCGCATGATAACTATTATATATTTTTTTTATTTTTTTTATTTTTCTATTTCCGAGAAAAGATTTGGAATAGAAATCCGTTTGGTAATGCGATTTTAACTTTTACATTTTCAGAACACATTTTTAGTCCAGAAAAAAGGTTTGGAATAGAAATGAGAAGTGTAAATTTTCTAACTTTCTCTGTTTCTGGAACAAAAAGGGAAATAAAAACTCTTCTTTTCAGTCGCCCTCGCCTTTCGCCAGTCGGCTGCCATCGTCCCTCGCAGGCTGCACGCCACCTGCGGCCTACCGATGAATGAAAGAGAGCGTAAGAGGGATACAAATTTTTGTTATCAAACAAATTTTTGTTTCGGGAAAAGAAATTTTGTGTCGTTATCAAATGCATATCTCTATTCAGAAACTCGTCCAAGGAGATAGAAATTTGGGGAGAAAATGCGTACCCTTAGTGTCTCCCTCTCATCACCGGAGCTAATCTAAAATCTAATTGAAATTTGGGGAGAAAAAAAAACAAAAACGAGAATTTTAGAGAACAAAAGACAATTTTGTGGCCGCCATCTTAAGGCCTATAAGTCAAAAACTTGCCAAACTTGACATGCATGTTCAATTATTTAAGGTTATTCCACTGATTTGACCACGAAAATAGTAAAATGATTTTAGAAGTTAGGCGGTCAACGTGGATTGTTGACATTTGGTGCTATCAAACTCTACTAGCCGCACAAATGAGACCTAACTCACAAAAACATAAAATTTGGTTAAACACTTGCGACTATTAATAAACCCTCTTCGTCTTGTTTCATTTGACTTTTCATACGAGTAGTGGGAATACAAATCCAATTTTAGAGTATATATATAGTCAGCATGGGAAACATAATTCTAGTTTGAAAATATATGGTATCAAGTAGTGGAAAAAAAATAACCGGTTCTATTGGACCGGACCGGAACCCCCGGTTCCCAATTTTGAGAACCGTTCTCCAGGACCGGGCCGGAAACCGATCACCCCTAATTCTTAGGCAGCTAGTGAGTCAATGAAGCTAAGCCCGTGAATGACCATAATCATAGAATCAGAGATTTAAATGTTACATTACCTCGGTATAAATTAATGAATGAAATCGGTATACGGAAACACCTTAACTAAGTTCAGGCTATCATCCCACGCGTTCGATCCATCTATTGTCTTGATCTGTTTAACCATCTCTCTCGGAGCCTCCATAGAATTTTCGCCCCCTTTCCCCTCCATCATCATCCACCCCGCGCACGTCATCGCACGCTGCCGCCATCGTCAACCTAACACGCCAGTGCACGCCATCGGTGTCATCCACCACTCTTGCCGTCACCGGCCCCGACCACCACCTTAGAGCCTGCGTGCGTGCAGAGAGAGAGAGAGAGAGAGAGAGAGAGAGAGGGGTGATTGAGGGGACGAATAGAGACGAGCGTTCTCTTAATCCAATATAATGTCGCCACATGACACGAATTCGACTTTTTTTTTTTGTAAGTGTTTAAGTGGATGTGTTCGATTTTCTGTATCTTTGAGTGCAAGCAATATTGTAAGCGCCTGGTATGGTGACTTACTTGGTCCACAAGGTCATTGAGTTGTTTTGACGCTTCTCATTGGACTTTCATCCGCAAAATGCCTGGTACAGCAACGTGCGTCTCACAATTGGGAGGGTGAAAATTGCTATCAGTTCACCCAAAAACAAAGGCTACTGGCCCCCTTATAGCAATGCTTTTTCTTGTAGCTGTTTGAGGAAACATAGGTTGTGGTGTGCCCTTTCCTTATGGTTACAAGGCTGTTCTACACCTCCCTTGCCAAGTTTGTGATTTCTACAGATGGTTTCTTTAGAGTTTGCTTTTCTGCCTTGTAAAAGTTCTAATGCCTTCATATGAGCTAAGACCTGAATCTCAATCACCTTTATAGAAGATGCTTATCTTCTTTCGATAATCGGATTGAAAGTCAACGTGATCCTTCTTTTTTGCTGTTTGGTATCATTGAATTTCCGATATCTGTCATCTTAATTGTAGCATGTCGCAGAAAGAACAGCTTCTTTAAATGATGGGATAAGGATTTCTACAATTTTTTGCTTTCCAAATGCCAAAATGCTGGCGCTTTGTGCTTTTAAGTTGGCCTTTTATTACTGCCCATTTTTGTTTTTCCATGATTTTTCAAGGCATAAGTGAGATGGGATTGCAGCTTAAATGGAACTTGATAGTTCTTCTTTTCTTGGCAGGGATGACTATGGACGGCTGCTACTGAAAAGTTTGTTTCTCTGTTGTTAGTGTTGCTGTAGAACTGGGCTTGGAGTTTTATCTGCTG